TGTGTGTGTGTGTGTGTGTGTGTGTGTGTGTGTGTGTGTGTGTGAGAGAGAGAGAGACAGACAGACATAGAGAGAGAGAAAGACAGACATACTATCAAGAACAAGATTGTATAAATAAATTAACCTTTCATTTTTGGTACAAAAAGATGGGTTACTTAAAAGGGTCTTAGTCACTTCAAGGGTAAGAATTACACATTCACATTCAAATGTACTGATCACAGGAAAGATCTTAAAACTGCCTGTGACAAAGGACAGATTTAGGGAAAAGAAGTAATTAAAAGACAATAGGAAGCATTGAACTTGAGGGAAAAGACGGTGTTTCATTAAATATCCCTCTAAAAATGTCCCATTTTCTTCTACTTAATGCTGCAGCTGCTTCAGAAAATTAAAAGCAGTTTAACCCATTAAATCATTGCTTTTGGAGTAAATTAGGATTTGAATTATTGTTTTGACTGGCATTATGCTGTTCTGTACAGCATAAGCAGATGAAACAAGAATGTAGATGTGCTATTTTTGAGTTTGAGTTCAGTTTTGGGATCCAAAGCCTGAGTTTACAATATCTGATGCCTTTGTGAGAACAGGGTACCAAGTTGGATGATTAGCCACGATCATAATGAACTACAGAACAGGCTTGAAGGACCAAATAGAAACTACGCACAGGAGTAGGCTATGTTTCTATGATCAAATTATCAAAATTGCTTATCCAATGGGAGCATGTTAGAAAACTAGTGCCATAAATTACATGAATAATTGCCACCATGCGACTTGGAAAGAACATATATTTGTCAATTTTTAATGAATCGAGCCATAACAAGAAATATTTTTAAGTAAACCCAAGGAATGTATATCTGTCATGATAGTGTGAGAACTGTTACAAATTTTGGCCATCCAATTCACCATTTTTGAGATTATATCCATGTTGTGATGCACTAGCACTTTTTCCCAAGTCTGAATAAATCTTGCTGATAATTTCTCCTATAATCTCTGTGATCATAGGGTGCTTGGAAGTGGGGCAGTAATACTGGATTACTATCAGGCTTAAGCTGAATGTTTTTAAACAATACATGGAATTAAAAGATCATATTACTGACAGTGTCTTTACAAAACTGTTAAAAAGACAAGGAAATAAATATCCAGAAATTGCTGGAAAAGCTCAGCAGGTCTGGCAGTGTCTGTTCTGTTCCAGAACTGTTCTGAGGAGGGGTCACTTGACCCAAAATGTTAACTCTGATTTCTCATAACAGGTGCTGCCAGACCTGCTGAGATGTCCTGTAATTTCTGATTAACAGATTCTGCAGTTCTTTCGGTTTTTAAATAAATATTCAGACTGGTTTTCAAATCTACATCGTAATTTTCTTGAATTTAGTCTTTATCCTAACACACAGTTGTGTACAAGGTGTCAGTCTTAGCTCAGTGGTCAAAGTCAGAAGTCACACAACACCAGGTTATAGTCCAACGGGTTTTTTTTTGAAACCACAAGCTTTCGGAGCACTGGTCCTTCATCAGGTAAAGTCAGTTCATCAGGTAAAGTCCGAAAGCTTGGGATTTCAAATAAACCTATTGGACTATAACCTGGTGTCTGTGACTTCTGACTTTGTCCATGCCAGTTCAACATCGGCACCTCCATATCATGGCTACCATTAGCTCGCTGGTAGCGCTCAGACATTCGAGTCACTTCAGAAACTTGAAAATCTGTCTGACACTCCAATGCAGCAATAAGAGTGTTGCATTGTCTAAGGAGATGTCTGTCAGATAAAGTGTTAAACAAAGCCTTATCCAACCCATTAAGCTCAATATAAAAGATCTAGGAGACCCTTCGGAGAGCGGTGAATTTCTTCCTAGTGGCCTTATCACTGCTCAGTCATCAACTAATAATGATTAAAACAGATAAACTGACTTTGATCGCATTACCATTTGTGGGAGGTTGCTGTGTGCAAAACAATTTCCACATTTCTTACCTGACAACAGTGACTACATTTCAAAAGAACTTCATTAACTATAAAACACTTTGGAACATCCTCTGGTCACACAATAGGCTATGCAAATACACATTTTTCTTTTTAAGTAAACAGCAATGTTCCCACAGTTGCATTTTTAAATATCATTCAGATATCATTCCAGTTTGAGATTAGTAGATTTAAACTAGGTACAGTTTCTGATATAACCCATACCTAGCTGAGAGCATAGCAATTGATGTAAGCCATCCAGCCTCACATTTACCCACTCTTGATTCACATCCTCTGTACTCTTACCTAATAAATGTCTACCAATCCCAGTCTTGAAACTTTTCACCAAACTTCCACTTGCCTGCACGTGGAAAACGTTTCCTGATTTCACTGCTGAATGGCTTAGACCTCAATTTTAAGTTTGTGTTTTGCCTGAATTACCTCATCAGAAGAAGCAGCACCTTTATTAGCATCCTATTAGATTCGTTTATAATTTGACTTCTGAGAAGTAAGCATGACAGACTTCAGGAATTCTGGGGTCAGTTATTATTACCCTACATCTAACATTGTACTGTGAATAATGATCAAGGGGCATATGGACAACTGTGTACAATTTGCATTAAAGGTTTAGTCACTAATCTTAGTGACCAATTTATACCTGATATCATTTTATTTATTTGGAAGATGAAACACACTAAATAGGTACTCTAATTCAATTTCTAAAAAACCGTAGATGAAACAGGAACAAATTATGTCATGTGGGTCAAATAAAAGACATTCTATTTTTATTAGTTTTTTTTATTGGAATACACAAGACAACAAATATTTATACGTTGGCATGCTTAATGAATATTTTATTTTACTGGTTTATAAAAATAAAATACAAAATAATTTTAGAACACAACATAAAACACTGTACAAGGCTTTGATATGATACAAATCAAAGAACTTAAATAATTACAACTTTATGTACACCCTACCTTCAAACAATGTATGCCATTTTGTTCAACGTACTCTATTGTTGAAATGTGCCAGACCATTTGATACTCATTGCTGCTTTTGTAAATTTTTACGTTCACTTTAAGGTAGGCTCCATAAAACAACCTCTTGCCCAGAATAATCGCAAATATAAAAGGTGTTATAGCTTCATTTCCCATTCAAGTTATACAAAGGCAACAATTCATATTAGATGCAATTTAGGATGGGAAATCTTGTTCTATTTAACCAGAAATAACAAAATAGAACCATCGTGTGGAACTATTATAGTTTACAAATTATTCTTTAACTTTGGAGTTTAGAAATTTGCATGGTTATTTGACCATAGCTAAGCTTTTCACATGTGCGTCTGCTCATAACTTGCAATCACCCTGCTCATATTTGAACAATCTCTGAAGATACAACCTCTTATAGAGAAAGAGGTATGACAAAGTGTATGGAGCCCACTTTTCAGTCTCATCTCTAAAACAAAATGTACATTATGATAGATATTCCCAAGAGCAGTTAAGCAATAATCCAAATAGAATTGAAGGAATCACAATTTAAAAAGGAACTTGGTGCTGCAAGCAGCTTTTGCAAAAACCCTTTAGCACCTTCAATGCAACCATTTACTAGGGTCATGGCCAATCAAGTCTTTCAGTGTACACAATTTGTAAGTGAGCCCCACAAGGCTAGAAGAGGTCAGCAACTTGATAATTGCTCCTTCCCTTTCTCACCTGTTAACATAAAATAAGAAGTTTGAAATGACTTCAGATTAACTTTTAATTAATGCATGCATAAAGCTTTACTGACCCATTTTTGAATGTACTACATTGATACTAATTTACATATCATACTATTAGCAGAGACTAGAATAATATTCAGGTAATATGAGCAGTAACATTAGTAATCTAGAGTCACTTCAATTGACAGGTTTGAAAATGCAGTAATTCACTTTCCGAAACGTGCACTACCCATTGGAATTCAGCAGAGGTGACACTATTTTGTGACCTTGCATAAGTATTTCCAAACTTAAAGCTGCCACAGTTCCTTGTATTGTCACTCTAGAACCCCCCTGTTTTGATCAAGTCCATTTCTCCCTACTTTGTTAAAACTAGATTCTTAAAATTCCCAGTTTTGATAACAGTGATACTATTACATAATACGGTGACACTTTTTTAATCTTTACTTTGGGAAGAAAGCTAATGTGGTGTAGGGCAGGCACAGGAAACTGGTATTCACTGTTTTAAACACAGATGTTTGAGCAAAACCTAAAAAACGCAGCTTTAAAAAGTGCATGCTGGATGTTTCAGAGTCCCACGACTATTGGGCAATCAATAGAAACAGTAGCTTGGATAACATTGTTTTTAAGTGTTTCTTTATCGCCTTTACAGTACAGTTACAAAAAGAAAAAATCCTATTTGTTCTACTTCCAATCCTGACATCTTTCACATTTACAACCTCTGTACAGTACACTGTTTCTCATTGCTTAGTACACTGGTTCAGAATAATTTCATTTCTAAGGTTCAATTTTGGAGTGCATGTTTCCCCAATCATGACACTAACGTTTTGCATGCCAGGAAGAATATGTAAAGCAAAAAAAGCATTCAGGCACACAAAATCAATCTTACACCCTGCAGCCAATAAAGTCTAATCTTAGGAAAACAATAAATACATACATATACTGTATGACATGCAGTTTTCAGTTGCATCTATAGTACAATAATATACAAAACATAAAACAGGGCTTCAATTTCTTTAAGCATTCAAAACAGTTGTTGAAAGGTTAAAAATTACCCAGCATGTTACATTACAGTTGGAAAATATTACACACATTAAATAATTGACCCAGACAAGGAAAGCTTGCAAAGAAGTGATAGCTAATGTGACTTCCATTTAATAATCAGGCTTTAGGTGACAAATGAGTGTTGTGTAGGTAACTCCCACTTACTTAAATCGGAGTTTCTTGCCTTGGCAGCAAAATAATACATAGATAAAATACATTAATATTTTTAGACAGGCACATGGCAATCAAATGCTGATTGGTAGCAGTTTACATATTATGATATGTGTAGAAAGCAATATAAATCTTTATTTTCTTTAGGAACTATCACTCCAAAATCAATCATTCATTGTTTTTTCTCTTCTTTTGGTGATTAATTATTTGGATGATGTCTGTTATCACAGTGGTTGCAAGGATTAGAGTTAGTAAACATTTAAAGGAGAGGTTTCCTTATTATTACTAAAAGGTGTCCACAGCTATGGACTGCTATATATTGCAGTGCTTCCCAAACCTTTTGTCTGCCCCATTTTGAGGCTTGAATATTGTTGTGTGAGAGTGGGGACCAGTTACAGCAGGATACAGCTGTGCTAACTCTGTCAGAGTTCTATCTGCTGCCTCAGAGATCATGATTTCAATATTTCAGCTCACAGCCCCTTTTGGGGTCCCAATCCCCACTTTGAGAAATCTTGGTATAGTGTATTTTATTGGGACTGGACCAAGTCACAATTTCATTTAAATTAAACTTTAGGGAAAGAGTAGAGAAAAAATTAAGGCTTCTTGATTCCCCTCCAACTCCCCACCCATTTCATGCCTGTTTTCAAAGTACTAGCATTCTACACCCTTTCAAAGGGGGTAATTCAAGATTTTGCCTTCTGATTCCAAAGGGCAATACAAATCTAGGAAAACTTACCTACCTGTGTCAGTTGTCAGTTCTCTGCAACAAACATATGCGCTCCCATCCTTCAACTATTTTGAGTTCAAGTATTCCCTATGAACTCTGAATCAATTAGTTAATTAAATTAGTTTTATTTATATCTAAACACACTATACATTAAAAAAAAATCACAGTTGACAGACGTGTAAAAAGATGGCAAAAACATTATATTAATTTTGGTGATCAAAAATGCTACAGCAGCTTTTCTTCTATTTTCAAACTTCTGAGGTTTCCCTCAAGATCTAAAATGGCACGAGGACAGGTCAAGTCATAAGATTTTGGAGGACGCTGTATACACTGAAAAAGGTGGAAGTATTAGATTAGTACTTTCTACTCAAATAGCTCAAGGCAGCAGAAGCCAAAATAAAACCGAGCAGCACTCTTGCACAGCATATGGCCAAAAGTTTACTGTGCTATCAATCAATTTTAGTTTCACTGATAACTTTCCTCGTTTATACAAAGCAGCACCTGTCCAACACTTGGATCCAAAATGGCATGTAAGCTACTGTCCAGTAAAGGAGAGACAACAGCAGATTTTCTTTTAATAAAGACTAAACAACATGCAACAAGGAGGTGGAGAGGGGGAAAGAAATACTTGCACAAATTGTTACTATCTGCTGAGTTTACTGGACACTTTGCCATCTCTGCTCGAGCATTTTCCTTTTGTGGATTTGCTTTGACACAAGTGATGTGGACTGCCAGGTCCCTTCAAGCTATTTTTGCCCTGTTTACCACAGCCGTGGTCCTGCAGGAAACTTCTTCGGGAGGGTGAGGATCCAGAGTAACTGGGAGGGGAGCGGCTCCTGGCAAAGTGTGGTGAAGAGCTCCTCTGGTCGGTGTACGGGCGTCCACGTGAAGGGGATGAACTGGCAGTGCGTGGCAATGATGTGCTTCGTGGTGAAGCACTTGGGCTTCGACGTGGGATCACTGGGCTCTTTGGAGGAGTTTTGGGACTACGGGGTGACTGCGGACTTTTGGACTGTGGAGAGCTCCTAGTCTTTTGCGATCCATTTTGAAGGATTTGAGCAAGGTGCGTTAGCAGGTCAGAGTCAGAGCTACCACTTCCAACTACTCTGTATCGTCGTAACCTGGAAAAAACAAGGTGGAAAATACATATTAGAGTGCAACGTATGGGGTACAAGAAGGTGTTTCAAACACACTTATAAATTTGCTGTATTACTGATTGTGGACGCAAGGTCTTTGCTAAGATCTTTGCTGTGGGCACCGAAAAAGTGTCAGCTGAGTTGACAGCTTTCTTCCCACTGCAGAGATTGGAAGTATAACAGGTTGGCAATCCAGTGCAGGACTGAGGTGCCTGCACAGTCTGAGGTGCCACCTTTAAGATGAGCTATTAGACTCAAGAGTTGCTATCTACCCAAAGTGAGGAGGGAGATCTGCCCTGAAATTTATTCCTCAAGTATTAAAATTGGTCAAGAGAGTTTGTCAGCTTTGTTTGTCCGATGGTTATTCATCTCTCATCAAATAATTCAGAGTCAGAGTCATAAAGATGTACGGCATAGAGACAGGCCTTCGGTCCACGCCGACCAGATAACCTAAATTAACCTAGTTGCATGTGCCAGTATTTGGCTCATATCCCTCTAAACTCTTCCTATCCACATTCCCATCCAGATGCTTTTAAAATGTTGTATTTATACCAGCCTCCACCACTTCGTCTGGCAGCTCATTCCATACATGCACCACCCTCTGCCTGAAAAAGTTGCCCCTCAGGTCCCTTTTATATCTTTGCCCTCTCATCTTAAACCTATGCCCTCTGGTTTTGGACTCTCCGACCTTGACTATTCACCCTATCCATTCCCTCCATCGTTCTATAAACTTCTATAAAGTCACCTCTTAGCATCTGATGCTCCAGGGAAGATAGTCCCAGCCTATTCAGCCTCTCCCTATAGTTCAAACCCTCCAACCCTGGCAACATCCTTGTAAATATTTTCTTAATCCTTCCTATTTCCACAACATCTTTCCTATAGCAGGGAGACCAGAATTGAATGTAGTATTCCAAAAGTGGCCTAACCAATGTCCTGCACAACCACAACATGTCATCCCAGCTCCTATACTCAATGTACTGATCAATAAAGGCAAGTGTATCGAGTAGCTTCTTCACCACCCTATCTCCCTGCAACTCCACTTTCAAGGAACTACGAACCTGAACCTTTGGTCTCTTTATTCAGCAACACTCCCCAAGACCTTACCATTAAGTGCAAGGATAATCCAGGTAATTATAGACCGGTGAGCCTGACGTCAGTGGTGGGGAAGCTGCTGGAGAAGATAATGAGGGATAGGATCTATTTACATTTCGAAGAAAATGGGCTTATTAGTGACAGGCAGCATGGTTTTGTGCAGGGAAGGTCATGTCTTACCAACTTGATAGAATTCTTTGAGGAAGTGACAAAGTGACAAAGTTGATAGATGAGGGAAGGGCTGTAGATGTCATATACATGGACTTCAGTAAGGCGTTTGATAAGGTTCCCCATAGTAGGGTGATGGAGAAAGTGAAGTCGCATGGGGTGCAGGGTGTACTAGTTAGATGGATATAGAACTGGCTGGGCAACGGAGACAGTTGTAGTGGAAGGGAGTTTCTCAAAATGGACAACTGTGACCAGTGGTGTTCCACAGGGATCCGTGTTGGGACCACTGTTGTTTGTGATGTACATAAATGGTCTGGAGAAAGGTATAGATGGTCTGATTGGCAAGTTTGCAGATGACACCAAGATTGGTGGAGTAGCAGATAGTGAAGGGGACTGTCAGAGAATGCAGCAGAATATAGATAGATTGGAGAGTTGGGCGGAGAAATGGCAGATGGAGTTCAATCCAGGCAAATGCGAGGTGATGTATTTTGGAAGATCCAATTCAACAGCGAATTATACGGTAAATGGAAAAGCCCTGGGGAAAATTGATGCACAGAGAAATCTGGGTGTTTAGGTCCACTGTACCCTGAAGGTGGCAACGCAGGTCGATAGAGTGGTCAAGGCGGCATATGGCATGCTTTCGTTCATCGGTCGGGGTATTGAGTACAAGAGTTGGCAGGTCATGTTACAGTTGTATAGGACTTTGGTTCGACCACATTTGCAATACTGCATACGGTTCTGTTCGCCACATTACCAAAAGGATGTGGATGCTTTGAGGGTGCAGAGGAGGTTCACCAGGATATTGCCTGGTATGGAGGGCGCTAGCTATGAAGAGAGGTTGAGTAGATTAGGATTATTTACATTAGAAAGACGGAGGTTGAGGGGGGACCTGATTGAGGTCTACAAAATCATGAGAGGTATAGACAGGGTGGATAGCAAGAAGCTTTTTCCCCCCAGAGTGGGGGACTCAATTACTAGGGGTCACAATTTCAAGGCGAGAGGGGAAAAGTTTAAGGGAGATATGCGTGGAAAGTTCTTTACGCAGAGGGTCGTGGGTGCCTGGAACGTGTTGCCAGCGGAGGTGGTAGAAGCAGGCACGATAGTGTCATTTAAGATGTATCTAGAAAGATACATGAATGGGCAGGGAGTTGAGGGATACAGATCCTTGGAAAATAGGCGACAGGTTTAGATAGAGGATCTGGATCGGCGCAGGCTTGGAGGGCCGAAGGGCCTGTTCCTGTGCTGTAATTTTCTTTGTTCTTTGTTTTAAGTCCTGCCCTGATTTGCCCTACCAAAATGCAGCATATCACGTTATCTAAATTAAACTCTAACTGTCACTCCTCAGCCCATCAGATCAAGGCTCCATTGTACTCTGAGGTAACCTTCTTCACTGTCACTACACCACCAATTTTGGTGTCATCTGCAAATTTACGAACCATATTTTCCACACACCCATCCAAATCGTTTATATAAATGACAAAAAGCAGTAGACCCAGCACTGATCCTTGTGGCACACCACTGGTCCCGGGCATCCAGTCTGAAAGGCAACCCTCCACCATCACTCTCTCCTACCTTCCATTTAATTTTTTATCCAAATGGCCAGTTGTCCCTGTATTCCATGTGACCTAACCTTCCTCACCAGTCTACCATGCTGAACCTTGTCGAACGCCTTACTGAAGTCCACATAGACAACAGCCACCACTCTGCCTTCATCTATCTTCTTCATCACTTCTTCAAAAAACTAAATCAAGTTAGTGAGACATGATTTCTCATGCACAAAGTCAATTTGATTATTTCGAATCAGTCTTTGCTTTTACAAATACACGTAAATTCTATCCCTCAGAATTCACCTCCAACAACTTACTCACCACTAACATCAGGCTCACCAATCTACAGTCCCCTGGCTTCTCATTAACACATTTCTTAAATAATGGCATCACTTTAGCCAACTCCAGTTTCCAGCACCTCACCCATGGCTATCGATGATACAAATATATCTCAGCAGTCAAACTGGTCGTTACAATATTGTTTGGAGTCTTGCTGTATGCATATTGGCCATCACATTTTCTACATTACAACAGTAACGAATGTTTCAAATAAAAGAGCTCTTCACAGACCATTAAGTGTTTTGGGGCATTCTAGGATCATGAAAAGACACTATATAAATGCAAGTAAATCTCATTTTTAAGGGATAAATGCCTAATTATTCACCTTTATATGCAGAGTACTGAGGAAAGCATAATGAATGTAAACATAAACTTTCAATTTTCAGGCATTTGGTAAGTCAGCCATAGAGATAACAAGGTGTAGAGCTGGATGAACACAGCAGGCCAAGCAGCATCATAGGAGCAGGAAGGCTGACGTTTCGGGCCTAGACCCTTCATCAGAAATGGGGGAGGGAAAGGGGTTCTTAAATAAATAGGGAGGGGGGGGAGACGGATAGAAGATAGATAGAGGAGAAGATAGGTGGAGAGGAGACAGACCAGTCAAAGAGGCGGGGATGGAGCCAGTAAAGGTGAGTGTAGGTGGGGAGGTAGGGAGGAGATAGGTCAGTCCAGGGAGGACGGACAAGTCAAGGGGGCGGGATGAGGTTAGTAGGTAGGAGATGGGGTGCAGCTTGAGGTGGGAGGAGGGGACAGGTGGAAGGAAGAACAGGTTAGGGAGGCGGGGACGAGCTGGACTGGTTTTGGGATGCGGTAGGGGGAGGGGAGATTTTGAAGCATGTGAAATCCACATTGATACCATTGGGCTGCAGGATTCCCAAGCAGAATATGAGTTGCTGTTCCTGCAACCTTCAGGTGGCATCGTTGTGGCACTGCAGGAGGCCCAGGATGGACAAGTCGTCTGAGGAATGGGAGGGGGAGTTGAAATGGTTCGTTGTTTATTGCGAACCCAGCGTAGGTGCTCTGCAAAGCGGTCCCCAAGCCTCCGCTTGGTTTCCCCGATGTAGAGGAGGCCACAACAGGTACAGCGGATGCAGTATACCACATTAGCAGATGTGCAGTGAACATCTGCTTGATGTGGAAAGTCTTCTTGGGGCCTGGGATGGGAGTGAGGGAGGTGGTGTGGGGGCAGGTGTAGCACTTCCTGCGGTTGCAGGGAAAAGTGCCGGGTGTGCTGGGGCTGGAGGGGAGGGGAGTGTGGAGCGGACAAGGGAGTCACGGAGAGAGTGGTCCCTCCAGGAAGCAGATAAGGATGGGGAGGGAAAACATGTCTTTGGTGGTGGGGTCGGATTGAAGGTGGCGGAAGTGTCGGAGGATGATGCGTTGGATCTGGAGGTTGGTGGGGTGGTACGTGAGGACGAGGGGGATTCTTTTTTGGTTGTTATTGCGTGGACGGGGTGTGAGGGATGAGGTGCGGGAGATGTGGGAGACACGGTTGAGGGCGTTTTTGACCATTGGGGGTGGGGCGGGGGGGGGGGGTGGAGTTGCGGTCCTTGAAAAACAAGGACATGTGAGATGTACAGGAGTGGAATGCCTCATACTGGGAGCAGATGCAGCGGAGGCGAAGGAATTGGAAATAGGGGATGGCATTTTTGCAGGAAGGTGGGTGGGAGGAGGTGTATTCTAGATAGCTGTGGGAGTCGGTGGGCTTGAAATGGATATCGGTTTCTAGGTGGTTGCCCAAGATGGAGACAGAGAGGTCCAGGAAGGTGAGAGGTATTAGAGATGGTCCAGGTGAACTTAAGGTTGGGGTGGAAGGTGTTGGTGAAGCGGATGAACTGTTCGAGCTCCTCGTGGGAGCACGAGCAGCGCCGATACAGTCATCAATGTAACGGTGGAAGAGGTGGGGTTTAGGGCCAGTGTAGGTATGGAAGAGGGATTGTTCCATGTAACCTACAAAGAGGCAGGCATAGCTTGGGCTCATGCGGGTACCCATGGCCATCCCCTTTGTCTGTAGGAAGTGGGAGGAATTGAAAGAGAAGCTGTTGAGGGTGAGGACGAATTCGGCTAAGCGGATGAGGGTGTCAGTGGAGGGGGATTGGTCGGGCTTGTGGGACAGGAAGAAGTGGAGGGCCTTTAGGCCATCTGTATGGGGAATGCAGGTGTATAGGGACTGGACGTCCATGGTAAAGCTGAGGTGTTGGGGACCGGGGAATTGGAAGTCCTGGGGCAGGTGGAGGGCGTGGGTGGTGTCACGGACGTAGGTAGGGAGTTCCTGGACCAAGGGGGAGAAAATGGAGTCCAGATAGTTGGAGATAAGTTCAGTGGGGCAGGAGCAGGCGGAGACAGTGGGTCGACCAGGGCATTCAGGTTTGTGTTTAGATTCTGATTTCATCATCGAATCCCTCCATTGTGGAAGCAGACCTTTCAGCCCATCAAGTCCACACCGACCCACGCCATCCCTGTAACCCTGCATTTCTCATGACTAATCCACTTAGCCTGCACATCCCTGGACAGTACGGGCAATTTAGCATGGCCCATCCACCAATTTAGCATTGCACATCTTTGGACAATGGGAGGAAACCGGAGCACCTGGAGGAAACCCACACAAACACTGGGAGAATGTGCAAACTCCATGCAGACAGTTGCCCAAGGGTGGAATCGAACCCAGGCCGTCACAATAACGCAGCAGTTTCTTCAAACTTCATCTTAAGTTTGTTACTTCAGCCACTTTCCATGTAAAAACAGCACCTCAATTTTCAATTATCCACAAGTGCAAACTGTCTTTCCATCATCAGATTGATATTCTACACCCACTATAATCTAGTAGCCTTCTAACTCCTGTCACTTTGAGTTTTGCCATTTTAGTTTTGATATTCCTAGCATTCTGGCTCATTTAGTGCATTCATATGACTCCATGGCTCAGTGGTTCGCACTGCTACCTCATAACGCCAGGGACCTGGGTTCGATTCCACCCTCAGGCGACTGTCTGTGTGGAGTTTGCACATTCTCCCTGGGTCTGTGTGGGTTTCTTCCGGGTGCTCAGGTTTCCTCCTACAGTCCAAAGATGTGCAGGTTAGGTGGCTTGGCCATGCTAAATTGCCCATGGTGTTCAGGGATGTGCAGAATAGGTGAGTTATCAGGGGATGGGTCTGGGTGGGATGCTCTGAGGATCGGTGTGGACTTGTTGGGCCAAAGGGCCTGTTTCCACACTATAGGGATTCTATGATTCCATGATGATTTAATGATTAACTGAATGCAATAATGCCAAGTTCATGTCAATTTGTATGCACTTACCATGCAGTAGGATGCACAGGAGGGACTGCAAAATAAACTCAGGTAATTAATTCAAAACTTTCATTACTTTATATCACAGAGGGCTTAGATCAAAGTTATTAGCAAGGTAAATTTGTTCCATCCCAAACACTAATGTTGACATGAAGCTAACAAGGTAAGTGGGTACTCACCGGACCTCCACACTTGGTCTGGTTGGTGGTTTCCCAGGAGGTGGTCTTGGGATAAACTGGGATGAGGTTGATGTGGGGATTTGTTCAGTATTGGTCAATGAAACCGGTCTTGGGATTTTGCTCCGCCGTGATTGAAGACTACTTAGAGAGTCCTCATCAAACTGCTTGCCCAATTGTTGTTCCACCCCAGCTTTTATTGGAGGAGGTCCAGAATGAGTTCCATCATCAGATAAAGTCATTGACGGAACAGACACTTTCTCCTCCAGGGACCTCTCAGAAGTGGATGTCAAATCACTCAGAAAGGATGTTCTGAGAGTATGTTGTCGCTTTTCAGTTAATTGCCTTGTCAGGTCTACTTGATGAGCTTTCTTTTGAAGCAGTTTCTCTTTAGCTGAGACAGGAAGTGATGATTCCACACCTGCTTCTACATCTGATGCAAGGATTGGGATGCGACTTTGCCGGAGAGGGGATGGTTTGGCTTCAACCTTCTTGGGATGCAGTGAATTGTCACCGACTGTCAAGATGTGAAGCAGATCTCCATTTCTGAATTCACTTGGTTCTGAAAGATTGCTCTGTTCCTGGATCTTTCTCTGCATTGTCTCAGAAGTGTATCCTTTATCAGACCTGTCATTTCCCACAATATTTGCCTGGTCTTCTCGCTCAGAAACAACAGTGTGAAACAATTCTTTTACACATTCATATGAAATGTTCGAAGACTGTAACTCACCCACTTCATCTTCAATGTACTTACAAAAGCCATTCTCATCTACAGTACGCAGTTTTTCTTGCAAACCATCCATTACATGCTTTGTATACTCCACAGTAGGTAAAGCATCCTCTTCTCTACAGGAGACCACTTCAGCGGATGTCAGTGGCCGGGTTATATCAGTCAAGTGAGGACCATGAAATTTGTTTCCTTCCTGTTTTGACACAGAAGACAAGGTTTCTAGCTGTGCTACTGAGCTGTGTCCATTACCTGGGTGAAGTCGCTCACCTATGGATTCATTTTTACCTGAATGGCACGGTTCTTCATCAGGTTGACTTGCTACATCTCCAGAAATTACTTGATCTTCTTCACATTTATTGACTTCTTGAGCTGAATTGAGGGAGTCATCTCTATCGTGGTCAGACTTGACACTAGTTTTTGCAATTTCATCCCCTTGGTTACTGTTTTCTACTGTGCCAGTCACAATAGTCTCTCTTTCTTGTGTTGTTCCTTTGTCTAATTCCAGGATAAGTTCAGCTTGGGAAGTGCCATTATACAATGTGTCACGTGGTGCCAGTTCTGGCATGGATTTCTCTTGCAGAGATGTGAATTTTTGTACTTCATCAGTGGCATGTTCCACTCTGTGCTGGTCAGTCTCCCTATGCTCATCATGCTGTATAACCACAGAGGCAGCATGGGTTGTTGCGACTGCACACTTGGGTGCGGTTATCTTAAAAAAACAAAATGCAGATCATGAAAATTTGAAACAACTTACTTAGACACAGTTGAGTTTTACATGAACTCCATTTGGAAGAATTATTTTTAAATATTTCAGACATCATCAAGAATTATTCTCAAAGGTTGTTACCAAAGAATAATTTATTCCGATCTGTTATACAGAAGTGTAAAGATTTGTAAACAGCACATCATGTATCAACATTTTGCAGCCAGTATTTAAGTTCCACAATCACATGTTTTAGATAATGTGCTGGTAAGTGTACAAATGGTTTATGCAGCGTATACAAGGGTCCATGAGCATACACAAGTGCCTTGACCCTTATCCCTGGCTGGGAAGAATTTTCAGAGGTGAAAGCTTTGCTATACATCTTGTATTAAAAGAAAATCAAGATTTCCTATGCAATAGCACGTGATAAATAGGAGGGAGAAAAAGAAATTCAAATATTGTCTGGGCCAAGATACAGGAGACTGCATGGGCAGGAGAGGGAATCTCAGATGGTTTGAGTGACAGGGAGTCATTGGAAACCCAGACACACAGGGAGTAACAGAATGGTAGGGGTCAAGGAGCCACAGATCGCTGGGAAGAAAGAGGAGTCACGGACTGCAGGAGGAGAGAAGTGACTTGTGGATAGCTGAGCGGTACTGTAAGAGAATGACAAACAAAGATTGTAAGGACCAGGTCATGTTGAGCCAATTTTTGTTGCATTTGGGAGGAATGATTCTACTCCTCCTGTCAATAAACAATAGCACTTCATTCGTTGTTCTGACACCTTTTGAATTATTTCACCTGGTAGAATTCCAGAAGCCCAGGAATCACAGATTAAATAATTATTGATTCATTAATTAAAAAGAGAAATGCAATTAAAAATAGAAGACTGTCTCTTCGTGAAATGTTTTCATTGACACACCTAGCCTGTTTCAACATAGGTTTGAGAAACTTGGTGGCTAAAACACTCACCAGAGGAAAGAAAGGAACTGAAGACTGATGAAGACTACCAGTGAACATTGTGTCTGCATTTACTAGAGACCCAAACTCTGTGCCAGTGGTGTTCTTATTGATGAGTCACTGAAGGCTAACATGCAGCTGTGACAATGTATGAGCAAAGCTAATGAAATGTTAGCCTTTATTCCAAGAGGATTTGAGTACAGGGTAATGAAGTCTTGCTTCAATTATATAGGAGCCTGGTTGGACTGCATTTGAAGCATCTCAGCAAAGATGTTATTGCCATAGAGGGAATATAATGAAGGTTTACCAGACTTCTTCCCAAGATGGTGACACTGTTCTATGAACTGGGCGAACTAGGCCTGTATTATCTACAGCTTTGAAGAATGAGAGGTGATCTCATTGAAACCTACAAAATACTTAAAGGAATACAAAAAAAGAGTAGATGCAGGTAAGAGGCTTCCTCTTAGAGGCAAAAAAACTGCAGATACTGGAATCCAAGATAGACAAACAGGAGGCTGGAAGAACACAGCAAGCCAGGCAGCATCTTCAAAAAAAGGTAATACCTGAAACGTTGACTTCTCCTTTCCTCCAGATGCTGCCTCGCTTGTTGTGTTCTTCCAGCCAAAATGTTTCCACTGTTTGGACAGTCTAGAACAGGGACCACAATGTTAAAGTAAGGGGGATGCCATTTGGGGTCTGAGATGAAAAGAAGTTTCTTCACTCAAGAGTGGGGTGAATCTTTGGAGCTCTTTACCTCAAAGGGCTGTGGAAGCTCAGTCTTTGAGTATATTTAAAGAAGAGGTTGATAATTATTTGATTATCAATGGAGTAAAGGGTTATGGGGATAGTGTGGGTAAAAAGCATTGAAATGTTCAATCAGCCATGAGGGCTCAATGGAGTTAGTGGCCTTCTGTTCCTAACAGAGTATCTGCCATTACTGCATTGTTCTGTGTTGAACATCACTGTATGTTAAATGACTGTTTCCTACATTACCAGAACAGTTGAAAAAATACTCAATTGGTGTAAAGTGTTTTAGGATATCCCGAAAGTGAGAAAGGCACCTTTTAAATGAACAATCCTTCATAAGTAAAAACATAGAAACTGTCCTGGTGAAAGATCAAACTGGAAGGTTAGCTCAGTTTCTCTCACGACAAATACTCCAGAACCTGCTCAAGACGTAAAGCATTTTCTGTTTTTATTTCAGATTTACAGCATGAATAGTGCAGGATTTACTACACAATACATTTCTTTGTATTAAAACCGAATGAACTGCAGATGCTGTAAATCAGAAACAGAGAAAGAAATTACTGGAAAAGCTCAGCAGGTCTGGCAGCATCTGTGAAGAAAAATCAGAGTTAGCGTTTCAGGTCCAGTGACCCTTCCTCAGAACTGTTCTGATGGAATAAATGCTGGCCTAGTCAACATCCCCACATGCCCACCGATTAACATGTAAAGGGTAGATGGGGTCTTAATTTAGTATTTTATCTCAAAAGTAGGCACATCCAATACCATTGCAGTCCATCAGAAGTGAAGTATCAGTCCAGATCTTTTGCTCCACTCTCTGGGGTGGAATGCAAACACATTCAAATTCAAGACCTGTATCCAATGAACTATGGTTTGGGTTTCCAATTCCAACTCACAACCCAGAGGCAGTTTGAAGTGTTATAAAGTAAACTCTTGTATTTATATAGTTACCACAAGACATCCCAAGGTAATTTACAGCCAATATTTGAAATAAATTCACTGTACAAGAAGCTATTCAACAGGGACCAATTTGTATATACCAAGCTCCTACAAATAGCAATGAGATGGCTATATAATGTATAGTAATTATGCTAATTGAGAATAATTAAATATTAGCCATGACATTGGGGAGAATTTCCCTGTTCTTCCTCAAAATATTACAAAACCTTTTCAGTTTATCTAAGAGGACAGAAGCCTCAGCCTTTGTAATTGTCCAACAGGTTCAAGTTTTTTGCAGCCTTGTTTGGATTAGAGTGAGTTGCAGGGTGAATACTGTCCCTAGCAGCATGGTACAGGAAGACATTCAAAAAGAGATAGCAAAAAGGAGTGTAGAGGTTGTAAGGATCAGTATAGTCAGGGGGATTGACACTGTTCTCTGCAGCAAAGAACAAGAGTTCAGACAGATGCATTAGCTGCTCAGAGCCAGGGTTTGGAACAGCTGCCTGGGCTGGAGAAGAACTTCCAGCGCAAGTGTGAAGATTCAGTAGCCATGGTTCATGGATAAAATCAGCTGCTGAGTATGAGAAGCTAGATGCTGAATTATTAAGCAAGATCTCAGTAAATAGTTTCAGGCTGAGCACTGCTGATAAAAGACATTTTGTTGAGGCTTTTAATTCTGAATACATTAGGACATTTCACAAGAATACCAGTGTAAGGGGATAACCAAAATATACACAGCAAGAGGGGAGTACTGATTGTAGAAGTAATAGCCTATTAGTAGTGATGCTAATTCATAATAGCAGCAATAAACATATTGCTCAAATCTTTGAAATACCTTGGCCTTCCAGGTAATCTGAGGTAGACTGGGCACATTTCAGGACCAAGAATGACCACCTTAGGCCACATATGTAGACTGTATATCGTCAAGGTTGATGGATTGAGGGATCTAGGTGTTTTACTGCAGGAGTCACAAAATATTAGTTTGCAAGTACAGTGCGTATAAAGTCTAATGGGACATTGTTCTTTATTACAGGAGGGATTAAAAATAAAAGTATATTATTCTTCAGTTATGTAGGGCATTGGTGAGACCAAATCTCGAGCCATTCATGCAGTTGTGGTCCTTATTTAAGATAGGATGTAAATATGTTGGAAACACTTCAGCAGAGGTTTACTAGATTGATACCGGGAATGAGTGGGTTGTCTGATCAGGATAGAAGAGACAGACTGGGCTCATTTCCATGGAGGTTTGGAAGAATGAAGGTTGACTTAATTTAAGCACATAAGATCCTGGATGAACTTGGCAAGATGGATGTGGAAATGATGTTTCTTTTTCAAAGGGAGTCCAGAACTAAGGGGTGTTTAAAAATATGGAATTCTACAAGACAGATGAGTATCGATTTTTCTCTCAGAGTATTGTGCAACTTTGGAACTCTGTCTCAGAGGTGTAGGTGGGGTCATTGAATATTTTTAAGGTAGACGTAGATACATTCTTATTCGGCAGACGTATCAAGTGTTATCAGGAATTCAAAATGAACAGATCAGCTAAGATCTTACTGAATGAGGGCTCAAACAGCCTACTTCTGCTCCTACGCTTGTCTGTATCATCATTATAGATCACAGAATCCCCAGTGTGGAAACAGGCCCTTCAGCCCAACAAGTCCACACCGACCCTCAGAGCACCCACCCAAACCCATCCCCCTATAACCCACCTAATCTACACACCCCTGAACACTACGGGCAAATTAGCATGGCTGATCCACCTAGCCTGCACATCTTTTGGACTGTGGGAGGAAACCGGAGCCCCCAGAGGAAACCCACGCAGACGCTGGGAGAATGTGCAAACTCCACACAGACAGTCACCAGAGGCTGGAATTGAACCTGGTGCTGTGAGGCAGCAGTGCTAACCACTATGCCACTAGGCTGCCTCTAAAAATGTGCCAGTTTAACATCTGATCTGAAAGATGCCAATTCCAATAGCATAGCTCTGAAATGTCAACCTATAATTCTGCGCTCAAGTCTCACAAGCAGGACTTGGTATATAAAATCCTCTGATTGAAAGGCAAGAATTTTACTAACTGACCAGGACTGCTGATCATTCTTTGATTGGCTTTTCAGATGGCTTTATCTTATGTTCTGTTGTCCTGAATGTTAAAGTGAATTAGGCTATAAGGGTTAAATAGGGAAAGAAAGCAGACCTCCAAGTGAAACTTCTACACTTCAGAGGTTAGAATCAGCAGGAATCTACAAACAGTTAGTACTAACAAAACGTCCCAGAGAGTCCTTGAAGTCAGACAGACGTAGAGATAGGGAGGTGATGGACAGAGGCAGAATAGCATATGACTAAATGACCCTTTACTGGTTGA